CTGCGAAGCAAGACAGCAGCCAATATTTTAGACGCGACTGGTAACAGACTGATACCCCTATGATTGTCACACGAATTAGTAGGAATAAGCAAAGATTTCGTTCTCAGTCAGTCAGCTCTTCTTTAAGTTTTGCAGTTATAAATCTATGAATGTGTCAGAATACAATAACCAATGCAGGCAAAATTATATTAGAAACACTATACTGTACTGTAAAATCATAAATTGGAACACATATTATACTATTATTATCAAATCCCTACAAACCAACACTTGAATATCAATGAGATGCTCACTAGCGACTGGCCCTATTCAGGTAGGTAGTTACCTGGGGTTCTAGTGAGAACTCGTGACCAGTAGGGTGCAGGAAGTCGGGTGTGAGGACATATACTCGCCAGCGAAGACATTGGCTAGCCGTCGCGCTATGTCGTGAATTGGCAGAAGTTAGAATTCGTGGGCCATTGGAACGGGTCCCAGTGGCTGATGAATGGTCTACGAGTGTGCTCGCCTTGTAACCAGAAAGCTCTGGGTTCGAACCCTGGCGGTTGGTGCGTACTTCTGAAGAGTCCCAAACTAGGACGGAGGAAACAGCTGTCCAGTACTCCCTGCAAGTTTTCTAATCGTTCTCTAACGCTGATGTCAGCTCATGATGAAAAATCCTGGAACACATAATTGTTGATATAAGGATAAAACGTAGGCTGCACTGTTGCTGGAGAGTATAATTCCAATATGGATAAAGTCACACACACACATATACAGTAATATTTACTGACGGCAACGCTTCGAGCACAATTAATTAATTACTACTTCTGATAATCATATCAAGACAACTACTCACTCACACAACTTTCTTTCTTCATTTATATACATGAGTGAAAAATTGATTATCAAAATAAAATAAAATGGTGAAACTAATAATAACGATAACGTAAATAAGAAAGAATTTAAGGCATCCACAGTTGTTTTACCAAATATGGAGCGGACATCTGAAACTCTCCCTAAGCAGGAATTAGGTTGGTGGCATTCAAGCCTACAAATTCACTCATTCAGGTAAGGTAAGCTCTGTAGGCTGATCCACTTAGACAAAATAATATAATTTACAAATTACTTTGCAATAACTGTGAGTTTGGTCATCTACATAGGTCAGTCTATTAAGTCGGGGTTAGTAAGATTGTGGGGAACATAAGAATTTAGCTAAATGTAGAATGGTTAATCCCACCCATGAAGATAAGTAATTCAGAAAAATACTCAACAGAAGCACTGCATGCATTAACACACAACCACACACGCAAGGGCTGGATGGAATAGAGTCAAAATTCTAAAAAGCAATATAGGTAGGTGGAGACAGAGAGGGTCGTTGATTACTGAATCCTAGTTCATCGAGTCTATCCCCAACATTATTATTATTTTTATATCCCCTAATTCCTAGAGGAACATAGGGGTTCAGCTACACGTCTCCATTGCCTTCGGTTTTGTGCCAACTTTTACACCCCGCTCCAAGTCTGCCCACATGCTTTCATCTCCTCTTCACATCACCACCTCCTCCAAGTCACCATTGCACTGACGACCAACTCGCCGCTTACCTTTCAGGTTCCACTCGAACAATGGTTTGGCGTGTGATGTCACTTGATGGTCTCCTCAGCGTATGGCCAATCCTTCTCCATTTCTTCCTGCCTATTTATTTCACAATCGATTCTTAGTTGGTTACCTCTCAGAGATCCCTGTTTCTGATCTTTTCTGGCCATCTTATCTTGAGTGTTGAGCAAAGACAGCTGATAATGAAGCTCTGAAGTTTGTTTGCTATGCTCTTTATGACGCGCTGGCCAAGTCTCTGATCCGTATAGTGAGTAGCACTGACTTACTTTACATTGGAGTTGAAAATCCGGATGTTATGTTCGTTTTGATGCTGAGTAGTGCTGTTGACCTCCACACAGACTTGAGAGTAATAAAGGATTGTCTTGCTTTTTCGGTTCTTGCTTTGATAGTACGTTTCTGTCGACAGAAGAATATTCCCTCAAATGATATACTGTAAATTCCTGTATAAGTAGTAGATAAAACTAAGCTGAAAATTCTGCACTGTATACAATCAGTGTTCAGAATGAAGCTATTCATATTATTGTGATTATTAGATAACATGTTGTTTGTGTATTTATAATCAATAAAATATATGAGTTTCAGGGAGAATGAATTGTATTCACTGATGTGTGAAAATTACTAGCAAAATATAGTTAGGTTACAGGATTTCATCATGAGCTGACATCAGCGTTAGAGGACCATTGGAATCCTCGAAGTACTGGAAAGCCGTCTCGTCTTAGTTTGAGACTCTGTGGCAGCATGCACCCACCTGGGATTCTAGTGGGAAGCTGTGACCACTAGGGTACAGCAACTAGAGAAGGAGGGTAGTAACTCATTGAAGACATTGTGAGGTGGTTGGAAAAAGTTAGAATTCACGGAATGGCCATTGGATCGAGTCTCAGTGAAGTGGCCTAATGGTCAATGAGCTTGCCTTTTAACCAGAAGGCTCTGGGTTCGAAACCCCAGTGGGATGGGTGCGTACTTTCAAAGAGTCGCAAACTGGGACGAAACAGCTGTTCACTACTTTCAATTGGTTTTCCAGTGGTTCTCTAACGCTGATGTCAGCTCATGATGAAATCCTCGAACAAAATATTTCCTTGTTCAGAATACTGGACTTCAAATTCAGTGTAATTCTCAGTTTATGAATTTTGAGCCACTGTGAGATATTTCTCAATGCATTACTTTTCTGTCCAACACAGGACAATGGAAAACAAGCAAAGTGTGACACACTTTCGTATCTCTTAGGGTTTAGTCACTTTCGGTATCTAAATAACTTTTTTGCTTGCATAATTAACTTTTAAACAGACAGACGCCGAGTTCTAACGGGACTCCGTTCACTGCAGCCTTGAAAACTCGTCAGTGTCACCGACGTCACACAAAATATATGTAGCTCATTTATTTTTCCAATTTTTAACAAAATCTAAAACCCAAAGCTAGTACATTGTGGGCATCAAGAGATGCGCCACACGCGAAATCTCCTAGTTTGTGTTAGAGCTGAGATACTGTTCACAGACGCAAAGACTGAAGGTAGGTGGTTGTCAGTAGGGACCGCTCCTAATTGAGCGTTTTATACTTGGAGTCTGGTTCACAAGACAGTGGTCCGGCGTCATGAGCTATGTTCCAGCGGTGTGGTATGTGCTACTGACAATGTGTATCAGTAGTACATTGAGAGACATTCATCGGCACACCAAACATCAAACAATTGAGAGATAGATTTGACGTCAAAGAGTGGAAATGTTAACAGTATTTCAGCAAAACTTGGAATACACGAAAAGAAGACAGAAACACAATACGAAGGACGTGAGTGGCAGAACTCGGAAGATCTGTGGAAATGACGATTACCTATAAAGTGTGCATAATTTCCCTATATATGTATATCAAATTCCTAATAGATATTTCTTTACCAAGTCTCTTGTCTTCTCCCGTTACAGTGGTAGCTGCTGACCGAAACAGATTTATGTGCGAATCAATCGTTTCGGATTCTTGACCTCATAGGACATTGTAGGTTAAAATCAGGATTTCCCAGTCTGTTTGTAATCTCCGGACGACAACTGCCACCTTGTCGTGGTGGTCGGGCTTGAATACCGTAATGACCCAACATGCTAAACTGACTAGGACTCTGTCCTTGCAGGTCCTACCATGTCAGGAAGGTTGTTTGAACAGCGGTTAAACTAAAAGCAGTTACCACGGGGTACATGGGATCCAGTATTCAATCAGATCAAATGGCGTATGAACCCATATGGGTCACCGGAAACCATGGGAATGCAGCTCCTGACCTGCTGCGCTGCTCCTTGCGGATTAGACTCCAAGTCAAAGGCTCGGGGGGTGGCCCCTTAATAAAATTACCTGCTTCGGTCTGGGTACCCGGGTAGTATCTCAGCCCTCACACAATGAATTGAATGAAGCAACAAACAATCATTGAAACTTATCGCGTACTATTACACGTGTTGCAATTTCCTTCTTTCCTCCCCTCCCGATGATAGTTAACGAATACTGTTTGAACTTGTTAAGCATGACTGTTTTCCTTCCAGATGAAGTTCTTTATCCGTTCTCTACTTATATTTATATATTTTTTCTCTTCTTTTTTTTTCTTTCTTTTGATCTATGTTGCTTTATTATTATTGTTTGGGACATCCTTCTTGGTGCCATATTGTACCAGGTTTATAGCATTTAAATAAATAATAAATAAATATACTCCAGACGCCCGTCCTCAATGGACCCTCCATTTTTGTGAGGAACACCTACGCCAAGTGAATCTAGTGACTAGGAATTACCGTATGAGGGGATTAATATTACTAAAAAGTTTGAGCATTGTGGATTAGATCAAGTAAATTATAATTATATTTCAATAGTTTACACACAATGATAAGTTTTGTTATTGGTAATATTTATTTATTTATTATTTTTTATTACAACTTGAATCCACACTGTATTTTTGATAGAAGTATGGAATTTTCAGCACGGATATCGGTAGCCCAAACTTTGCAGACCGACCGTAGATATCAGCTGTGCGTCGACGGGGTATTGAACCTCGGACCATGTGCATGGTTGGCTAGAGTCCTAACCACTGTGCCACTGACGCCCAATTCACAATTCCAACAGTGGGGAGAACACGGGCAGTAATTTTGCTCGAAATATTACCAATAACAAAACTTATCATTGTGTGTAAATCGTATGAGAGGAATTCTTGATGAAGACAGAATCTACCCATCCTCAGTCAGATCAGGTCGCTCATGGCGACATATATGTGGCTCATATCGGCGGACATGCAGCATCTCTTCCTCTTAAGAGAATTCTGAATAACTTAAAGAGATGAGTTTAGCTGAATATCATTCGGATTCTTATTTATCGTTTATCAATCCTTTTTTTTAGAGTTCTTGTCATTCTGATTTATCATTATTATTTTTAATTTGCTATTTGTACAATAGACAAGGAATGAATTGCGCGAGGCGATGGAGAAAGAACTACAAGAATTTCGGCAAGAGCGAAGCTATTTCGCGCAGAGTCGTCTAGAAGAATTAGATACTGCTGATATTGATCGATCAGAACCAGTAGGACCTGGTCAACCAGAAAGAATATATCATCCCAGTAGTGTTGGTCTGAGTAGTCGGGCACAGAGTACCCCAGATATCAGTAGTGCTGTAACAAATGGAATAAAAAATCATGTTGACGAGTCTATAACATCTACAACAACAACTACTACTATTCATTATAATAATAGTAATAGTAATAATAGTAATGGTCAATTACAAATTGATCAAAATATTGATACAAAGAATGCTTGAAAAAGTTGGATGATGCAACAGACCTACCAAAACGTCCTAGTAACAATAATAATAATATGATTAATGATAATAATAATAGCAGTGTTCTTTCTCAAACTCTAACACGGTCGACAACTTCATCTCGACGTACACGAGTTTCAGCTAGTCCAACTAGAATACAGGCAGACCGACTTATCAATCAGGTAAGTAGACTGTATTTTGACTGTTATGTCGTTTCATTTCCATTTCATCATACCTTTTCCTTTCTCTTGAAACAAATGAATTACGTATTGATAAACTGCGCAGTGAGACACACCTTTTTTCTAATGAAACCTCATTATACTACTTTACTGTCACAACTTCAGCAGATAGTAAAGTGGTTGAGCGTGGTGATTTTTCCACTATTCAGGAGGTTTCATTAGGCCTACCGACGAAGTTTCGGCATGGATATAAAAGATTAATTTTCTGTTTGCCAACTTGTGTTATCTTTGAGACACATGAAGGAATGTATGCACTCTACAGTACATTAACTGGCTCCGTCCTCCTTAACGGCTGTTAGACGTGGCCGTTGAAAATGGAAGTTATGAAGAGGTCAGTCGTCTCTGTCTTATATACAAGTCTGCGTTCCGTTTTCCGTGTCTATTAGTACATATGATCAGTGATAATGAGATTGAGCATATAGAGTGTTAAGATAAACTTATAAAACCATTCAGTTAGGTATTGTAAAGCTGCATTCATTAGAATTCATGCTGAGAGATCTTCTTCCTTGATAAGAAGTGATGATCTATGTATAGAATGTCATAAGGGATGGTTACTGTGTTTGTGGTTGTCGTGTAGCTTGACTAGAATGCGCCTCCAGACACGAAATATAACCAAGTGAATCTCATATGAAAGTACTCCCCGCACTGAGACCCAAAAATCATATTTGACAGCATCGGCAATTTTCTATAGTTTGGTTTGTAAGCAATGACAAAAGTGACGTTTTATTATTCAAGATACAAGGTATGTGTAGTTAATTAAACCTCAGAAATTCAAGTCATAAATAAATACATAAATAAATTGGTTGTATTACCCTACAAATCCTCGAAAATTCAAGTAAAAAATAAACTAATCAAAAGTTATCCAGTCAGGTTAACGTCTGGGTGTATGCGTCGATCGTAACTTCACGGTTGCCAATGATAGGTTGACGTCTAACATAGAATTAGGCTCGAAATAAGCTAGGTGCGGTGAAAGCAATACATTACACCCGTCCATGGAGTTTTCGACTGTTGATTTCGTCACGTTAGAAAATATAAACCAACTGGTGGCGTCTTTGGGTGTTTTAAGATTCTGTGATTAAAAATCCCTGACAACAGCACAAATCCTGTTTCCCCTTTTATCATATAGACTCTCCAAATCCTCACTAATTTTCATCGAATTACTCTTCTTCTCATAAATTTTTACTCAGTATGGTTTCACCAAATTTCTCTTTAAACTTTCCTACTTAGCTCAAACCAACAATCAGAGACTTCATGGCTCGGTTTAAGCACCCCTAACGCGTTTCCAACCTAATAATCCTATATCAGCTGACAGTTCATCTAGAAGATGCTGGCCCAATACATCTAAAACACATATCCTAGTTGTTTGAACCAATACAGTCAATCGATACATTAGTTATGCTTCACATTAACCCTCTACCTCCTGATCTCATTATAACTGACGAGGATTCTTATCACACGCAAACATATGGTCACTTGTCTACACCTGCTTTTTAAATTCAGACTTCAAATTTTCATTGAGAAACTGGAGAGGTTTATCTATGACGCCTGCTTATCTCTATATATCCGTTTAATCTTAGGCATATACTTTCAAGAGACTAATGCATGACTTAATTTCACGCAGTTGTTGTTGCTTTTGTTGTTTCAAGACAATAAACCGTATACTGTTGAGTACAAATCAACAATATGTGTAAGTACGTTGCTTTATCACTAGGTGGTAACCAGTGTTATGGTTTTGATTCCTAATACTGATGTTAACTGAATTCTATCAGCCCAAGTTTTCAGTGGGGTTATAAACCCAGACGCATCTGCATCATCTTGCACTTGGTGGCAATCGACAAAAAGCTCTGTCTGGTCTAAGTTTCGTACTTTGCACTCAGCCACCGTCAAGGTGTATCCTCAACCTCGTTAGGAACTGATATACACGCATCACTTAGTGCAACAATGAGAGAGACTTTTTTTTGATTTTTGATTTACAGCTTGATTCCACACTGTATTTTTGGTACAAGTATGGAATTTTCAGCATGGATATCGGTAGCCCAAATTTCGCAGGCCTACCAAAGATATCGGGTGTGCGTCGGCGTGGGCTCGAACCCCGGACCATGTGCATGGTCGGTGAGAGTCCTAACCACTTTACCACTAAGGTGTGTATTCTCCACATGATTGAACTCCTGTAGAAGTTTCTCGTTTTCTACATCTCCTTTCGCTGTATCGTAAAAGTGTTTTTCCTCATTTTATTGTTTCCTGCATGTGTCACATGTTGACGCATTCTCTAATCTCTCTTTTCAAAGTGAATTAGATCGAAGTGTAGAATTGAGACATTTGTATCGCTTTATTATGAACAAATATATATAAACATATGATAAAGGATTGTTTAGATTATGGTGAATGATGCTGCTTTGTTAATTAGCATAAGTATGTATGTATGTATGTGATGCATATATGGTAATTTTCTACTTACAACACTAATCTAAAACACCTATGTTGATCAAGCCAATCAGAATTTGCTGAGTATGTTATCATAATATCCAACGCTTGAGTAACTCTTTATGTAAGCACAAATTGTTTATGTAATCATACAGCGTTAACTGTATGCTCCATACTTTAACATTACACACACACACACACACATTTTAGTTGTATTTATTACTCGTGAGCAGATTGTTTTTCTGGCGTAATGAGTGATTTACCTGAAAATCAATGTTGTTCTGTTGTTTGTTTTTCCAATCCATTCCTTTTAATTGAAATAAAGAAAAAAACGATTGATTGCATGCAGGAGGACTTCATCATGAGCTGACATCAGCGTTAGAGAACCACTGGAAAACCAACTTGGAAGTACTTGACAGGTGTTTCTGTTGTCCTAGTTTGGCACTCGTCATCAGTATGCACCCACCCCATTGGAGTTCGAACCAGGACCTTCTGGTTACAAGTCGTCGTAGACCCTGATGAAGAGTCCCAAACTAGACTGACGAAACAGCTGTCTAGTACTCCCTGTTGGTTTTCCAGTGGTTCTCTACTGATGTCAGCTCATGATGAAACCCTCCATGCAATCAAACACCAGATCCCTGCAAAACCAATACTTGAAAAGAAAAAAAATGATTGATTATGCAGTGTTCTTTTTGAATCTTGTGTTAATTTCTGCCTCCCTATAAGTTGATTGGTATTCACTTTACAGTTTTAGGCTTTATTTTCATTTAGTCAACAGTACCATTTCGTGCAGTGTACATTATTTGTTTTGTTTCAAAATTCCTTGTATTATGATTTATTCAGAGGTATCTGTGGTCCAGTGGTAGAATGCTCATCAACCACGCAGGTGGTCCGAGTTCGACGTCCGCCTTCCCGACGGACTCACTCTTAAACACACCGGCTAGTCTGGTAAGCCCAGAAAAGAATTAGAATTGAGCATGGGGCTACCAAACCGACGAGGACATCAAATCGGGAAGGCGAGAAACACATTCACTCATCAACTTGAAATAACCAATCTGGAAATCTTTGTCACTCAGCCAGCATCAACAACAAAATTCGGAAGGATTTTCAATACTAACGTCAAGTCAGTCAGCTCTTCTATCAGGATCAGAAACTTGGCGGGCGGGTCACGAAGAAAATTTCCAACACCCTGTTGCACACCTTTATTAACCAACAACTATCAACTATCTCTCTATACTGAAGATCAGATGGCCGGGCCGGAAAGAATCACCAACAAGAAACTATGGGAAGGAACAAACAAAACAAGAACCAATCGCTGACCAACAAATATGCAGGAGAAAGTGGAGATGGTTTGGACACTCACTGAAGAGGCCGCCGCTGGGTGACATTGGGCGCGCGTCAGACCATTGCTCGAGTGGAACCAGGCCGAAATGGAAGCGGCGAGTGGGACGTCAGTGCGAGGATGACATGGAGGAGATCGTGTGAAGAGGGGTTGTAAGAGTATTGACTAAGATGGATGCAGGTGAAAAGTATAGCAGAAGACAGAAGCAAGTGGTGACATGCAGTTGGAGCCCCTGTGTTCCATTAGGAACCGAAGGGAACAATAATAATAATAATAAGTGGGGCTACCAAATCCACGCTTTGAAGCACCAGGCCTGAGTATTCCACTCGGAATGCTAAAAAATGTCTCTTTTAACAGCAGATGGGTTAGAAGATTGACACCTTCAAAAGTTATGCCTGTGAACACACTCGATGTCACTAGATGTAGTTGAACAGAGGTCCTGCCAAATTCTTTGAAATGCCGTAAATTGTGTATACGTTAGAGTCATTCGTGCTAATTATTTTTCTACAGTTGATTGTTAACCCTTCTGTTTTCTAAATAAAGCGACCAACTACTTACGTGATTTTGGATATATATATATATATATATATATATATAATTTTCTGCCTGTTAGTAGTCTGTACTTGATGAAGCGGATTGGGCCGTCACAGCCAGCCTGTAGGCTCCTTCTTAATCTCGCGTTTTTTCTTCAGTGGCGTTTCCATTGACGCACAGGTGATTATCGCTTATCTAAAAAAGCTTTTCTATATACCATCTTATATATAGTATGGATAACTAGTGCACATGGCACAGTGGTTAGGACTCTCGCCGACATGCACATGGTCCGGGTTCGAGCCCACGCCGGTGCACACCTGATATCTATGGTCGGCCTGTAAAATTTGGGCTACCGATATCCATGCTGAAAATTCCATACATGTACCGAAAATACAGTGTGGAATCAAGCTGTAAATCCAACAAAAAATGATACTATTACACCTTAGTGTAGATGTTTTTTACATTATCATATGGGGTTCTCAGGTGACTTGTCTGCCTGTATTTCAGCGTGTCCTGTTAACAGAAGGCAGAACTTAAGACGGTCGAACTTTGACTTGCTAGTATTCCTTGAGTTTTTGTAACTAAGTGTAACTTACTCATCTTGACAGTCGAAATATGTAGTGAGATACCTGACTTCGGTTTGATTATAATTAGGCATGTGTATTGGTGTATTACCTGCTCCGCAATTATATCATATTGCATTCATTCTCCCAACTTCTCTAATTTACGTTAATGTACATGGTGTGACAATTTAAACCGTAGCATTATAATCCTTGATGCTTATCTGTCTGTGGTTTTTGTTCAGGATCGCTTGTCTGATTGAGAATTTGGAACGCTTAGTAGCTGGCTAATTAAGCAGCTCCGTTAATCAGAACAGCACATGAAAGATTCCGGGTGGACATCTTGACTGTTCTTGATAGTCCCACTACAGATGTGAGCACGTTACTGTCCGCCTCTTCGGTAAAAATGTGATAAACCTTGAATTCTTATACTTCTGTCAATCGATGATAAAACCTCAACTCCAACCAATACCATTAATAAGTGTCCGGTTGACCCCCGACATGATAAATCCAACCAGCCACATCTTATTAAATAAATTTCTACGAATGCGGCTGTCTGCATAGATTTTTCATCGGATTTCCACTTTTTTTCTCTACTCGGTTTTAATATGCATCACATGTAACTGATTCAGTAACGACGGAAGACAAGGGCTAGGCAACAGATCGTTTATTGTGGAAATGATTGTTCGTTATTGTTAACAGAGAAGCAACGTCTTCTGATTGGTTGTTTTCTTGCTCAAGGTTATTCTGTACTGCTTGTGACCGTTCGTTAAGCCATATATCTGCTAATCGTATCCGCCAACGCTAAGTTTGCTGTGATTGGTTGGTGAGTTCGTCAAAGTTAAGCTTTGTTAATTATCTTCTTTTCTCATAACCTTGATTCGATACGTATTCTGTTTCGTTTTAATTTTTCTGATTTTTATTATTATTATTATTATCATTATAGGCAAGTCTTGTATCATGGAATCATAGAGAATTCAAAGTGCACTATCCAAGTTTAGCTGAAGAACCAAGAGTTGGTAATTACTTTCTACGTCTCTTACTGGAAGAGGATAGACATAAGAATGAAGTGATTGATGCTAATACATTGACAACGAGTACTGCAGCTGATAACTTGCCAGTTGGCTTATCACGTATTCGTGATAGGTAAGTACGACTAATCGTGAGAGAGAGAGAACTGATACTAATCAACATTTAATGTTCTCTTCATTGAAATGCTTTTTTTTGTTATAAACTAATTATTCCATAGGCTTTTGATTTTTTTTGTGGTGGTTATAGTGTGCATCCACTACTATTGGGCTACTTTCTTTTTCGTCAACAGAGCTGTGGATATCCATTGGGATTCCACTTGAGTGACGGCCTGAAATCCGCACGATGTCATTCGACGGCGTCCTCAATGTACGCCGCATCAATCCATCTCCATGTTTTCCTAAATATCCAATTGTTAATCAATCGGCTGATCCCGGTTGGTTTGTTCGTCGTCAGAGTTTAGTGTTCTTTATTCGGTCGGCCGGATGGTAGCCATTTGATCTTCAGTATGGAGTCAGCTAGAGAAGTGGGCAGTTGACTGTTGAAAATGCTTACCATGACACGTAGTACAATTTTCTCACCCGTATAGAAGACATGACTGACTGACTTCACATTTGTGTTGAACAGAGTCCGAATTTTGTTCTTTATGCTGAGGTGGAGTGCAGGAAATTTCGAAATTGGTGTCACGGTGATAAAAATGTGTCTCGCCTTTCTGATTCTGACTGGCTGACTGTCTTTGACATCTCCATCCACGCTGTTCGTCTGCGTGTGGTTGAAACCGTCCTTTCTGTCAAATCTCTCTCGTTGATGGTGATTGATGCTGGTTGTTGTTGCTGTTGCTGTTGCTGTTGGTGGCGGTTGTTTATCTTCATCACCTCCGTCTTTTCTATGTTCAACTGCAGTTCAGTCTTCGCAGCTCCTTCAGTTGTACATACAATTGTTATTTATTTCGGCATAATAACGATGGGACATTAAGGGAGATAATAGTTTTCAACTATTGTTATTATTTTTTTAATGAAGGCACGTGTGACCTGGATGTTGTTTTCAATTACATCTCTTTAAACTTCAGAAATAAATATTCAATATAAACCATGAGACTTACCCATTGAAAGCGGAAGGAATGGAAAGACCGACTAGCTGTCTTTGATCACAGGTATCCGCCTTCTATCTCCTGTGTTAGGTGGCAGATGTAATAGGGTGAGCAATATTGAGTTTAGGCATCCATCGAGTGCTAGGTAAGGATGGGGAAATCAATTGACGAAGCTGTGAAGTTTCATTGGCTGAAATAGTTAGGATATATGTTACGCCTGCCTAATCATCACCTTCCTCGGTGACACGCAATGTTAGCCTACGTAGAATCAGGTTGGAAAAGGGCTAGTGGTGGTGGTTAAGCCAAAACATGGATTCACCAGTCAATGAAATCCACAACAGTTAGTTTAAGCTAGTCACGTTGGAAGATGTAGACTGGCTTCCTTGTTGGTGCCCTCGGGACGGTAAAAACCAATGGTTGGAAACAATTGGTGATATGGCTTAAAATCTTTCTCAGTGGCTGTCGCAGATGCACCCACTCCTTGTGACTTATAATTTCCAATGAAACTATATTGTTCTTCGTTGGTACTATTCCTTTGTCTCACACCTCTGTTTACTCTCTCCATTACGCATTTCTTCTACTTTCTTCTCTTGATTTGTGTGTTACATGGAGTGGAGTATGGTGACTTGAACTGCTGCATATCGACGCAAAGTTCTATGTCGAAAACAGACAGACAGAGCTCGGGGCTCTTCAGCAGTTCACGCACTCAAGACCCCACCGATAATTGAGTCTGCAACCTTCAGGTTACATTGGCCAAGTCTAAGTGTGTGAGAAAAGAAATAGTTGCGGTCGTGCTCAAATCACTAGTCTACAGAAGTTAGAATTCTTGAATTCCGACCGGCCAAGTTAAACTTTAAACACCACTAATTACCAATCTCAATCTTAAGGAAGTGGAGGCGCAGCCTACTGGACACAAAAGCAAGAAGAGGAGCAGACGTTGGCTCAGACCACTATCTCGTACAAGGGACAATCCAAATCAAATTAAAAGCTTTCAGGGAATCAGGAGCTGCAGATAGACCACAAGCCAAGTTCAACACTCAAAAGCTGAAGGACCAGGCTACAAAGGACATCTTCATTGCAAGCATAAAGGACAAAGCTGAGATACAAATCAACACCAGCGAAAAGGTCAGCGTCGAAAAGCACTGGAACAACTTGAAAACGGTGTGGAGCCAAACCTGCATAGAAATTCTAGGCAGAAAAAAGAGACAGGACAAACAGTGGCTCACTACGGACACTTGGAAACTAATAGAAGAGAGAAGGACAGTGAAGCAAAAGATTATCCAGTGCACGACGAGCAACAAAAACAGGAGCTGAATGCAAGCTACAATACACTGAACAAAAGAGTGAAGAAAAGTGCCAGGGAAGACAAAAGAAAATATTATGAAACCATGGCAAACGAAGCAGAACAAGCTGCAGGCAAAGGAGACCTCGCCACACTCTACCAAACAACTAGGAACCTTTCGGGCAAACGTTCGACACAGATTAAGCCAATAAAGGACGACAATGGAAAGTCAATCACCAAAGAGGTGGAACAGAGAAAGCACTGGGTTGAACACTTCAAAAGACTTCTAAATCGTCCGCCACCTACAACACGTCCAGCAATACCAACAACGGAAGCAGAACTACCAGTGAACACTGACCCCCCGACGAAATCAGAAGTCCTGAATGCAATCAAGATGCTTAAAGCTGGGAAACACCGGGACCAGATGGAATCCCAGCAGAGGCTTTGAAAATAGACCCAGAGACAACAGCGGACTTGATGACACCACTGCTGGAGAAGGTGTGGAAAGAGGGCAAAGTACCCGAGGATTGGAAGAACAGTTACTTATTCAAACTTCCAAAGAAAGGAGACTTAAGTCAATGTAAAAACTGGCGTGGAATTATGCTTCTGTCCATTCCAAGCAAGATACTAAGTCGCATCATCCTGGAGAGAATCAAACAAGCCCTAGATGAAAAACTTCGTCCGGAACAGGCTGGATTCAGGAGAAACAAATCATGTATTGATCAAATCGCCACTCTACGGATCATCATTGAACAAAGCTTGGAATGGCAGTCACCTCTCTATCTCAACTTCATCGACTTTGAAAAGGCCTTCGACAGCGTCGATCGAGAGGTCATTTGGAAACTACTTCGCTACTACGGGGTCCCATCGACAATTATACACCTCATCCAACAGTTATACGACAATGCTGCATGCCAAGTAATCCACAACGGGAAACTTACGGAAGCCTTCGAAGTGAGGACGGGAGTGAGGCAAGGCTGTCTACTATCACCAATGATCTTCCTGATTGCAATTGATTGGATAATGCGACAGACAACGGCAACCAACGAGGGAACAGGCATAAAATGGACTGACACAAAAGACTTGGAGGATCTGGATTTCGCCGATGATATATGTCTGATTTCCCATAAACTGGAAGATATGCAAGTGAAAAGTAACAAGTTGGCAGAAGAAGCATCAAAGATAGGACTTCACGTGAACATAGATAAAACAGAGATAATGAAGATTCCTAGCCAACATCAACAACACAACAGACCACAATAAGCATAAATGGGAAGAACCTGAAAGAAACAACCTCCTTCACCTACCTGGGAAGCATCGTCTCAACTACAGGCGGAACTGACGAGGACATCAAAGCCAGAATCGGAAAAGCAAGACAAGCTTTCATTACTCTCAAATCTGTGTGGAGGTCAACAGCATCAGCATCAAAAATAAGATCCGGATTTTCAACTCCAATGTGAAGTCAGTGCTACTATACGGATCAGAGACTTGGCGAGTCATAAAGAGCATCTCAAACAAACTTCAAACCTTCATTAACAACTGTCTCCGCTCAATACTCAAGATCAGATGGCCAGAAAAGATCAGCAACAGGGATCTCTGGGAGCGAACCAATCAGGAACCGATTGTGAAACAAATAGGCAGAAAGAAATGGAGATGGATTGGCCATACGCTGAGGAAACCATCAAGTGACATCACTAGACAAGCCCTCGAGTGGAACCCGAAAGGGAGGCGGCGAGTTGGTCGTCCAAGGGTGACTTGGAGGAGGTCATGCGAGGAGGAGATGAAAGCATGTGGACAGACCTGGAGCAGGGTGAAAAAGTTGTCAGAAAACCGAAGTCAATGGAGGTGCGCAGCTGAAGCCCTATGTTCCTCTAGGAACTAAAGGATACAATAATAATAATAATTACCAATAGCGTGCTTCCGCACCAGTGACCTTGAACGGTTTAATAGAATTTATTCACGTGTGTTTAAGCGCCTGTTCCTCTTGGTTCAAGTCAAATGCCTTCTCTAAAAGAGTTTCGTTTGCAATTTGGTGGTGACCAAGTCTTCCAGTATCGTTTAGATTAAATGTGGAGTTGATTAGGAAAGAAAGTATTTGTTCATGTGGTTGTGTGATGATTATTAAAAGTTTCACTAAGTCGATTGATGGATATAAGCATCGTTGTGCGATTTGTTTGAGACGAGTTAATGTCAGCGAAGGTAAGCTGATGATCTTAGTATTTCGTAGGAAAATACGATGCCTCTCTAGAGAAAGGATTTGTCAGAAGGATAGCAGATAGAAAGTCAAGTACTTTAATATCTATTGTTACTTGACTAGTGAAACATAGATCCACAATTCACACAGATGAGTGGAAAGGTTACAACTCACTGTCATCCCTTGGATATATTCACCACAGAGTGAACCATTCTAACGAGTTTATGGATCCAATTACAGGGATCCACACCATTTCCATAGAAGGCTTTCGGGGGAAGGGTTAAAAAAAACAGGATTACAGCCATTAATGGATCTCAAAAGGATGTCATTTACAGCCATTCATTAATATATGTTATCCATAATCAAAAATATCTCTTTCATGTGATTGGTTCGTTGAACGTCATTCACTAATTGGTGGTTACTGGTGTCGAAAGTTTAACTTTGTCTTCCGACCTACGTAGACTAAGGATCAACAAGCTTGACCTCGTAACCTGAAGGTCCTGGGTACGATCCTTGATTGTGTCTTCCTCTGAGGACAGTGAAACAGCCATCAAATACTCTCAATTTTTCAATGCTTCTCTAACGTGTAACCTGATCTGGTTCCCGATACTACTGACTAGCGTCTATAGCTTCTAATTATACATGTCAATCATTGCTATTATAATATGCCTTATTGCAAATTTCTACTTTTTTTCTCTTATTTCAGTACTGCATTTTTCAATGAACTATTCCGTCGTTACTTACAGTATGTTGCTTCTGGTCCATTCTATTCATTCAATGATACTTCGATGAATTTACGTCAATCTAATCAGTCTAATAATAATATACATCGTCGTGTTATCATGAGATGCTTGTGCTTACATGCTATGTCTGTTGTCTATAATCGTTGTCATCATGAAATTGGTCCAGTGTCAGATATTCCCTTATTAATCTATTTATTAGATAATACAAAATTTCCATCTGAAAGAGATTGTCTTCTCCTCCTATTGGATAAACTTATGCTGAATAAGGTAAGTTCGGTTTGTTGTTGTCCATTTGATGTTATCCGGTTGATAGTAGCTAACAAATGAATACAGGATGGGGTCCCAATGGCTTAAATGGTATACCAGCTCGCTAACCTTGTAACCAGAAGGTCCTGAGTTCGAATCCCAGTGGGTGCGTACTGATGAAGAGTCCCAAACCAGGAGGAAACAGCTGTCAGGTACTCCCAAGTTTTCCAATGGTTCTCAAACTGATGTCAGCTCATGATGAAAATCTTGTAACCAATGAAATCTCTACAAACCAACACTTGAATACAGGATGTGCTATTCTTCGTATTTGGGAGTCATCGTTAGTAGGATCACTCCACGTCTTCAGTGAGTGAGTGAGTGAGTGATGATATTCCTACTGAGGTTTGAAGCCTCGACTCCTGTCTTCAAATGCTGAAGAGTTATACATTAGACAACTGAACCATGATGGCTAGCATCATGTTAACCATTTTACCTCGTTGAATCGTCCGTACTTAGAACCAATATGTTAACAGAGACTGTCCGCTCCCGTTCAATATAACGTAATTAGTCCAGCGTGGTTTTTGTTTGTCTCTCTGTGTGTATGCTAAAATCATTGTCATTTTCCACCGGTCCATATGGTGTTGTTGTGTTCCTTGAGCCGAATAATTTGATTCGGAAGTCCTCCTCCTGCTTCTGGACTCTAAATTCTCAATGTTCAATTGTTTATTTACAAGTTTGATCACCAAATGACTTCATTTAGAAAACCAATTGAAGCCAGGGAGTAGTAGATAACAGTTTCATACCAGTTTGGGACTCTTCAGTGCTACACAATCATGACCTCATTAGAGATCGAACCGGGGACCTTCAGGTTACAAGGTGAGGTTGTTGACTATTCGACCACTGAACAACAGTATTTAATAGCTCCATATTGATGGTAAGTTTTGCTAATTCACGGTGTATAACTCGACCGTCAGCCAATGTGTTATCTGTGAATTTCTGTCTTCACACCACAAACTGCTAGGACGAAACAGCTGTTTACTACTCTTTCGTCTTTTATCAATGGTTCTCTAGCTGCAGTCATTTTTGATCAGACTTTTAAATTTCCATTACTTACTACACTACAGTGTGTTAGTCATCGGCGTTTTCTGTGAATTGTATATATCTGTCTTTGCTGGTGATCTTGATTGTGATCGATTATTCCTGTGGATTTCTGTATGGATTCTTTTCACTTCTATTGATATTGATCCACTCATTGACCTGTTTATATTTTCGTCATTTTCTAAATTACTCAGTATTGGTTGATAGATTTAACCCGTGTCGGTATATCTCTTATTATTATTATTATTATTAAATCCTTTAATTCCTAGAGAACATAGGGCTTCAGCCACACGTCTCCATTGCCTTCGGTTTTCTGACAACTTTTTCACCCCGCTCCAAGTCTGCCCATATGCTCTCATCTCCTGTTCACATGACCTCCTCCAAGTCACCCTCACATTGACGACTGATTCGCCGCTTACCTTTCGGGTTCCACTCTAGCAGTGGTTTGTCTAGTGATGTCACTTGATGGTTTCTCAGAGTATTGCCAGCCAATCCATCTCCATTTCTTCCTGCATATTTGTTGTACAATCGGTTCCTGCTGGGTTGGTTCGCTCATTGCCAGAGATCCATCCCTGTTTCTGATCTTTTCTGGCCATCTGATCTAGAGTGGTATTGAGCGAAGACAACTGTTGATGAGGTCTGTAGTTTGTTCGAAGTGCTCTTTATGACGCGCTGGCCAAGTCTCTGATCCGTATAGCAAATAGCATTGAATTCACATTGGAGTTGAAAATCCGGATCCTATATTCGTTTTGTTGCTGATTGCTGTTGACCTCACACAGACCTGAGAGTAATGAAAGCTTTTCCTGCTTTCCGATTCTGGCTTCGATATCCTTGTCAGTTCTGTTCGCCTGTAGTTGAACCGTACTTCCCATTTAGGTAGGTGGGTAGGTAAAGCAGGTTGCTTCTTTCAGATTCCTCCCATTTATGCTGGATGATTGTTGTCTGTTGTTGTTGGAATCTTCATCACCTCTGTTTTATCTATGTTCACCTGAAGTCTTATCTTTGATGCTTCTTCTGCCAACTTGTTGCCTTTCACTCGCATATCTTCCAGTTTGTGAGAAATCAGACATATATCATCATCGGCGAAGTCCAGATTCTCCAAGTATTTTGTTTGAGTCCATTTTATGCGTGTCTCCTCGTCGCCCACCGCTGTCTGTTGCACTATTCAGTCTACAGCAATCAGGAAGATGGTACATCTCTTAGCTGCAAATTATTCTGATTTCATGCTTCTAAGACAACTTGTCATTCTTTTGACTGATGATATAGTTTTTGTGTGTGATATTCAATTCGCATCTGACTACTGTCTATCTATCTTATAATTACTGTGATAGATGCATTGAGTTTGTTTTTTGTATACCTGAGCGATGCGACCACTTTTCTTAAACTAACACCTCTTAGTAACTCACTTTCATGCCAAGTTTTTATTTTGCCTTATTTGAGGTTCAACGACTTTAATTAGCCCCAGAGAATGCTTTATTCCATAATACTGAGGGAATTCGTAGAGTCAATCTGTTGTATGTATTGATAGGTGCTTTGTCTGTTTCGTGACCAGTGTAGAGCTACTGATGTTATATAAATATTCATTAGGGTATACTGTTACCTTGTCACAGTGAAAGCGGATGAGGGTAGGTGCTAGAATATTGAATTTGAGGTAGAATTTTATTTCTACAGTATACAACTGAGAAATTCAGGTGTGTTGTCTTAAGTGACTATTTCTTGCTGGTTGGTCAGTTCATGTAATCACTTTCCTTCTTTTTATTGGAATAGTTGACGTTCTCGCGTTAACTATCCCTTCTAGTCGAATAACCATTCTACAAGCACACTTGGAACTTTTATCAGGTTGAACAAATTTCTGTCCTCAGTATTATACGAGGGGAACTTCTGGCATCGTATCAACTTCAACTTGGCTTTCAAAAGTTGAGTTTACAATAGTTCGATGCGCGCAATGTTTTTCTACACCCTTGAAACCTTACTTCGCGGAGCTGAGGATGCTTGGCGACTCTGCTTATTCGTTCATTGCTGCCTCTGTAGAATTCCTTGCATTCGATGACATTATCTTGTGAGTGATTCTAACGTCCGGCAACGTAGAGGTTACCATTCATTGAGTGTTGTTATCTTGAAGCATTGGCTTCAGCGGCTTGGATATATGCTACTGAAGCCATCTTAAAGACTACCATACCACTTGCGTTGGATAACCTTAGAGCTATATGGAAAAAGCAGAGAGAGGCAGTCAGCCTATGACTTGGCACCGTGGAATGAAGGATACGTGTGTTACTTTACGATCAGTTGGTGCATCATGACTCCGTGGTATATGTCTGGGAAATAATAATAATAATAATTTGCTTTATTCCAAAACAGTACTTGTGATACAGAATGGAATTCTCAGCATTTCACTACAGTATTGCATCTAACTAGTAAACTAACAATAAATAACACTCTAGATAGATTATGGGTAGTCTCAGCTCGTTTTGACAACAACATATTAGCATGTCGGTAGCAAAGCCGAAATTGAACAGTGTGTTTGAAGGTGTTAGAAAAGTAGATACTAGCATATTTGCTGGCGTAAGTGGTACCTATAAATGATGTGAGTTGGAAAAACGAAACACAATTGTTCTACTGACTATTTAATAAGTTAAAGGTTTCACGCCTAATACTTTCTTTATCGCACAGAACACGAGCTAAGTAGAGTATGGTTGAGTTTTTGTACATGCTAGTGCGAGCATAGAGTTTTCTGTATAGGCCTCTGGTATGTCTGCCTGATGAGATAGATACAAGGGGGGAGCTGTGAATGGTGAGGGTGGTGTGATTTAGATAGATAGAATGGATTTAGCCCATTTTTCACATGAGTCCATATGCCTGTCAACCAGAATATTAACAAGCTGGTTAAGTGTCACGTTGCTTACCTTGCCTACAACCTTTATAACACCCTACGTAATAAGATATAGTCTTTCTTTAGTAGCCGGCCCAGAGTAAACTAAGGTGGGAACAATAGAGAATAATAGACAGGATGCAAGAGTTAACGAAATGTAGGAGTAAGGGTTGGGTTGGGTTATACCAGAATGTCTTAACTTCTTGATGTAGAAGGTAAGATGGAATATTTTCTCAGAAATCATCAAGATATGAGACGACCAGGAAAGCATCAACAGAAAAGAATGACGCCAAAACAGTTCGTATCGGTGGCTTAAGACGTTATCAGATATGACTGTGATCACGAATTCACTACAATCTCTTTCATTCTTCCCTTCCTGAAAGTAACATGAAAAGTAATGAATGCTAAATGTTCATTTGCTTGCGTGCTTGCTTTTTGGATGACTTCAACTGTCGTCTGAATAGTTGTTATATGCGCACTGTAAAAAAACTCTATTATATGGAATAATTCTTAGAAGACTTGTTTTGTAAAATTTCATTACAATATCAATTCATTAATTGAAAATGTGTATAAACAGTTGTCTGTGTGTTCTTTTTCTTCTTCTGTTGCTATAAGGTGAATGTCATGTCATTTGTTGACGCAGATGGCGTACGTGTTCTAATCGATCTAGCGTGTTTAGCTCATCTACAAACAAATCGAGCGCCTACACCATTTCAATCAAATGTATTAAAAGCTAGTGCAGAACAAGAAATCGCCGGCTCCGGTGCAAATACACAACGTGAATGGTGGTTTATTAATTCAAATCGAACTAGTATTACTAATAATATTGATACTTCAAAAAAGGTAACAGGAGGTGGAGAAGCTGGTGGACTACCGAAATCTGGATCTAATCCTATTCAAGGCCCAGTCAGCTTTATGGAGGTATTTGCTTTATTTTAGTTCTAAACATACTGATGTCATTGTGAATATTTGGTGTAGTTGGTGTGTTACATTGGAGTGTTGGTGGTTTGTTGGTTGTTGTCATGACAACTATAACCACCAACTGTTCACTTGAAAACATTTCCCACAATGAGGTAGATACGGAGGTCAAATCCAGCTGCAAAAACCGAACGGTGACCCTTATTCTTCAGTATGCAGAGTATATATCTCGTTTAAACATCCATGGAAATTTAAACCATAAACAGGCAATCAATATCTGGTTGATTACATGGCCTTGAAGAACCTCCGAAGCAAACCAATCAAAAATTATCCTGTCAGGTTATTATGTTACCTTTAGTTCCTAGAGGAACATAGGGCTTCAGCCACACGTCTCCATTACCTTCGGTTCTCTGCTAACGTTTTCACCCGGCTCCGATTCTGCGCTTATGCTTTCATCTCCTCTTCACATGACCTCCTCCAAGTCACCCTTGCACTGACGACCAACTGTCCGCTTCCTTTTCGGGTTCCACTCGAACAATGGTTTGGAGTGTGATGTCACTTGATGGTTTGTTTCCTCAGAGTATGACCAATCCATCTCCATTTCTTCCTGTTTATTTGTTGTACAATTGGTTCCTGCTGGGTTGAGTCGGTCCGTTGATTGCCAGAGATCTCTGTTTCTCTCCGGCCACCTGATCTAGAGTATTTAGCGAAGACAGCTGTTGATGAAGGCCCGTAGTTCGAAGTGTAGTTGAAATGATGCTTTCCAGGTAGGTAGGTGGGTAGGTAAAGGAGGTTGTTTCTTTCAGGTTCCTCCTATTTATGCTGGCTGATTGTTGTCTGTTGTTGTTGTTGCGTGTTGGCCAGGAATCTTCATCACCTCTGTTTTTCTCTATGTTCACCTGAAGTCCTATGTTCTCCGGATGCTTCTTGTGCCAGCTTGTTGATTTTCACTTGGATATCTTCCAATTTGTGGGAAATCAGACATATATCATCATCGGCGAAGTCCAGATCCTCCAAGTTTTTTGTCTGGGTCCATTTTATGCCTGTTTCGTCGTTGCCCGTTGTCCGTCTGTCGCACTATCCAATCTACTGCAATCAGGAAAATCATTGGAGATAGTAGACAGCCATGCCTCGCTCCCGTTCTTACTTCGAAAGCTTCCGTAAGTTTCCAGTTGTGGATTACTTGGCATTCAGCATTGTCATACAACTGTTGGATGAGATATATAATTGTTGGCGGCACCGTGTAGTAGCGAAGTAGCTACCAAATAACCTCCCAGTCAACGCTGTTGGTGCGTGCATCAGTCATAGCTTCGCGTCTAATAAAGATAGTTAGTCTGCCCTAACAGTGTGTGACTGCTTTCTCAGCTGAATTTCCTTTAATTTATCTAACAAAACTTCTCATTGAAGCTTCAGGAAGCTCATCTCGAAAGTGCCCACTCTTACGTACATTAATTAAGAATAACCATATTGATGTTAAGATTATCGCAGATAGTTTTGGTTCGCAAGCCTATCTGTCATATGGATGGTAGGTGGCGATTTCATCGTCAAGTGAAAATCTAGATCTCATCAGGATTCGAATCAGTGTCCTCAAAATTTCTAGTCTGGCCCTCTACTAACCCTTGACTGATTTACAGTTCAGTCTCGCAGCTCATCTATAGGACACACGGCTACCATTGGCAGGTTCATATTTGTAACCCCTTTCCACTTACCTGCGTTGGAGATATTTGAGGAGTTTTTGATGTGGTTGTGTTCTCTGAGCTGGGAGTTAGTTGATTTGCGAGGCTTTCACTCCCCCCCACCCTTACTAGGCGACATCTTCAGCGCATACACTTCAATTCGATGAAGTGAGCTTTTAGATTTCTCCACGAGTTCACTATTAATCATCTCTCCTGGTCGCTGACCTTGGACGTCGTGATTGGTTGTTTTTGTGTTTCCACACCTTTTAGGTTACTTCTTGTATTGGAACTGATTGTTCATTTGACTTGAACTTTGATCCTTTGTGTGTATGGGTGTGTGTGGTTTCTTTCTTATCGATTGGTAGTAAATTTTGTCTATCTCGATGTGTCTATTGATTGATGATTCACTGGAATTCCAAGCAAGCTTCTAAAAATTCTCTGGCTGGCATTCTTGTTGTTTCCTCTGTCTAATATTTGAACGCTGGTTGTCAAAGTCGAATTGATGTCTGTGGTTGTCTGTATGCAGTGACGTGATATCAGGGAGTGGATGTCACGTTGTCTTTTGACGGCTAGTTTATGTTCGTGGATACGAAGAGGAAGACGTTGGCGTCCACTTTGACCAATGTAGGGTTTTTCGCAATCGTTACGATTTTCTTTGTAGATGATGTTGGTTTTATCTTCTTTCGTTGTTAAGGCTTTCGGTTGACATAGAATTGAGTGAAGTGACTTTGTTGGTTTGTGTACGACGTCAATTCCTAGAGGTTTGAAGGGTCTTGTGGTGATTTCTAAGATATCCTCTATATATGGTAAGGCGAATTTCTTTGTGCTTTCCTTGGAGGCTTTTGCTTTAGTAGGTTAGCTTGGGGGTATATGTTCTTTTGATGAAATTCCGTGGATATCCATTCTTTTGGAAGACATCCATGAGATATTTTTCTTCAAGGACTCATTGCAGCACTCCCACCTTAATGAAAATTGAAGAAAAATATCTCATGGACGTCTTTCAAAAGAATGGATATACACGGAATTTCATCAAAAGACATATACCCACAAGCAGCCAACCTACCAAATCAAAGCCCCATGAAAAACACAAAGGAAATCGGCTTACCATATATAGAGGATACCGTAGAAGTCACTACAAGACTCTTCAAACCTCTAGGAATCGACGTCGTACACAAACGAACAAAGTCACTTCACTCAACTATGTCAACCGAAAGCCTCAACAACGAAAGAAGATAAAACCAACATCTACAAAGAAAATTGTAGCGATTGCCAAAAACACTACATTGGCCAAAGTGGACGCCAACGTCTTCCTCTTCGTATCCACGATCATAAACTAGCCGTCAAAAGACATGATATCCACTCCCTGATATCGCCTCACTGCATACAGACAACCGCGGACATCAATTCGACTTGGACAACCAGCGTTTAAATACTAGACAGAGGAAACACTAAGAATCCTATAGAATTTGTGGAAGCCTACTATTCCAGTGAATCGTCAATCAATAGCCATATTGACCTACACAAAATTTACCAATTGATAAGAAGGAAATCTCACACACAAAGGGTCAAAATTGAAGTCAAGAAAACAATCAGTACTAAAACCAATACAAGTATTCTGGAGGGTGTGAAAACACACAAAACAAGCAATGAAGTTCAAGGTGGTCGCCAGAAGAAGTGACTAATGAACTCGTGGAGAAAACTGAAAGCTCACTTCAAATTGAAGTATGCGCCGAAGATGTTTCTTATTACGACGATGAAAGCTTCGCAAGTTTAAACCATCCAGCTCAGAGAGCACAACAACATCAAAATCATCCACCTAAGCTACAAATCTTCTCTATCATATCATATCTATATGTGAAGAGTAGGATGTAGGATGACAGGTGAGAAGTGTGATTCACTAGTGAAAGAACAACATTCAAGAGTAATTATGAAGTTTGATATATATATATATATATATATATATATATATATATATATATATATACTCTACCTCAGATTTGTAACTCTGCTTTATAGATTAAGGTAGTTTAGCACATGTGTTATTCATGCCAAGACTCGAACTTTCTCCTCTAACAGTGTTAGCTGAGACCAAGATAATTTGGTCAGGACAACAGTTGTCACTGGTGCACTAAGTCGTTGACTATTCACCGGCGCCATATAAGAATCTGTAGACTGTTTTTGAATGAGCCCATTTCGAAAGCTAAGAGATTATTGCATGATTAGGAACGGTTGCATTTATTTTTCACACAAAGTTCTTTATTATTTCATCATGAGTTATCCAAGTAACCAGTCAGTTCCTTCGATGTCAGCGAGTATTGATGTTCCATCTACAACTACTGAGCTACATACATATTTTTTTGACATACAATCATTATCTACTAATTTACAATGCCAAGATGATCATATCTCCTCTACAAGGAGTGTGATTAAAACAGGATTAAACATGTAATGAATGACTTACTGTTTTGTCCGTGATCTATAGAACGGACATTTAACCCTAATGTAGAATAAATTTTTTTATATTTTTGATTACAGCTTGATTCCACACCATATTTTTGGTACTAGTATGGAATTTTCAGCCTGGATATCGGTAGCCCAAATTTCGCAGGCCGACCATAGATATCAAGGTGTGCGTCGGCGTGGGCTGGAACCCCGGACCATGTGCATGGTTGGAGAGAGTCCTAAACACTGTGCCACCGACGCACCGTCGAGGGATTATTGTTGATTCATGTTGTCCAGTCAGAACAAAGCTCACATATTCATTTTAAATTATTTAAATTAACCCCAGCGTGTTAAGAAAATCAAAACAAGATCTGTTTTCTAAACGTTTCGCCATGTAAGCCACAGCTTCTTCAGTAGATTTATTCAGATTTTATTGATCATCAAATTATGTAGTCAAAAATGTGTTTACATAATTTGAAGTTGGTTCATTTGAACGTCATTTGTCCATGGACATTTTTACCAATAGAAATATGTAAGCAGTCCTCACATATATGTGTAATGACTAATGTCAAATTGTTGTTGTGTTCACTCTTCTATAGTTGATTTGTAAAGATTAGATTTGTATGCGTGTGTGTATGTTATTTGTCATATGGAGAATACGTGAATTCATATGTGATAAACATATCATTACATGTTTTAAAAGGTCATGAAGGCTCATAGAGTGTTTTTTTTATCTGTCTTGCTTCATAAGAGTTTGATTGCATGGAGGATTTAATCATGAGCTGACATCAGTTAGAGAACCACTGGAAAACCTGGGAGTACTGGACAGCTGTTTCGTCCTAGTTTGGGACTCTTCAGCAGTATGCACCCACCGGGACTCGAACCCAGAACCTTCTGGTTACAAGGCGAGCTCGTAGACCATTGAGCCACTGGGACCCGATCCAATAGTCCTTGAATTCTAACTTCTGAAAATTCATAAGAGTTTGTCATATAGGTGATAAGTCTATCCCTTCTCTCCATCCTATTTACTGCATTCGATGTGGTTAAAATGTGCAAAGCTTCAGAAGTCAATCTTTCTTTATGTGAATGAAATCCTCTTCCAAGAATTCCGATATTGTCGAAATCAATCTTATGTCCTCTGTCTATCGCATGCATTGCTATAGCCGATCTTTTTTCTAGACTTTTTAATTCTACTTCATTTCTAGGTGGACGTTTCTTGCAAAGTCTGTGTTCATTCACTCTGACCTTCACCTGCCTCCTGCTCTCCCCTATATAGCATGCCTCACATTCTGAACACTTTATCTTGTAGACACAATTACTTTGTGACATTTTGGGAACTATATCTTTGACATGCACCAGCGCTTTCTATGGAGCAGTAAATCTTTGCCTTCTCACATGGTTTCCTGTGCTGTTTCAGTGTGTGGAAATAGTATTGTTCCTGCCTAACCGACTGACTTCCAACACAGATCTTTCCTCAAAAGTACAGATGTCCAAGTTTCCACACTATATATAGCTCAAAAATCTACAATAAATAGACAAAAAACATATTTACCAGAAACCATTCTCCCCAGGATCATACGCGAGGCAGAATACTAACATGGATAAACATGAGAGCTCAAGCAATACGCAAGATTACAAACAGTGCATGAGTCCGAGTCATTGCGAACCGATAATCTCCGGTTATTGGTTCTTAGTATTTCGAGGACAGCCTACACCGTCAACTGTCAAACACTTAATGGACTGATTTCAGATTTTGGTTTAACTACCGATAGCTCTTTTCCAATCTAATTTGTATGTCAGCTAACATGTGTCCTGAAGTGTAACACTGGCAAAGAGTCGAAATCCAGTAGTAGTACTATTGTGAACAGAACAAGTATCTTTTCAACGATTCATTTTGCATAAACTGTACATTCGTATTTATATTGAACAAAGAATTCACAAGACCAATCAGATTCCGGTTGAATTTGTTCCAGAAAAAAAGTATTACGTAATGTAAGGTGATGCAATCTACAACAAGGGGATGATGAATTGCAGACAAAAAAAGCGACATAAGTTGAAATGACGTCATAGATTTGAGTAGAGTGGGGAAAAACACTATTGGAAAGACAATAAAGCATTTTGATATAATCTCTGTATAAAAAATGCAATGTCATTAATAATAAATAACTAATATTCAATGATAGGAATTTATTAAAAAAAAGATGGTTGCAGAGAAGAAAATTCTTTCCTTTTTGACGAAGTCATCAACCAGACTGTACATTTGTGTGCTTATAGTGAATGCCTGAGAAAGTTCCAGAATTAATTTCGGTCAAAAGATACAATGTTTACTTTTCATTGGACACTAGTTAGCAACTAGTGTAATGTATCTGTAACAACAGAAGACAAGGGCCAGGCAACAGATCCTTTTATTAGGGAAATCACCACGTATTTACATATATTTCATATATCTTATTATAGCTTATTCAAGCAGACAGACACAGTCTTCTGATTGGTTGTTTCGGGTAACCTCAGAAAATGGAGCCATCTATCTGCGAATCATATTTGCCCACGTTAAGTCTGCTGTGATTGGCTGTTGCATCAGCCTTGTTCATACTTTCTCACGGCCAATCTTAGTGACCTAGACATTGACGTAAATTAATGTCTACCAATTGGCTAGCAGCCTGCTCTCACCACATATGTAGTCCTCTATTTGTTACAGACTGAATTCTATCAGTCAGGTTTGCAATGTGGCCACCATTTCAGGTAGCTCGCCATCACGGTACACTTTGAAATGTTGATAGTAGATAGTTGAAGGCGATCGGCAGGAAGCCAGGCCTGATCTAGGTCTCGTGTTAGTTGACACTCACGAGTCAGCAAGGCGTACCTGCAACCTTGAAGGAACTCATGTCCCTTCCGAGATAAGAACCCGTGGGTGCCAATTAGCACGAAATCTAGGTCCAACCATTCTTACCGACTGCATCCAACCTTGCTATTATTCCAAATTTTAATGAACAGGAAGATGGGATACAGAAAAGGGTAAGATAGATAGGCAGTAGTACTATTGTAGGAATATTTCAGGTCATAGGTCAAATTAGTAAAATTATAAGTTTCCAGACCGTAGGTGTCACGAAATTCCTGGAATAAATTGAGCGCCGAGTCAGATTGATTCATTATAAATTATTTAAATTAATCCCAGCGTGTTAAAAAAATCAAAACACGATTTTCTGAACGTTTCGCCGTGTAAGCCACAGCTTCTTCAGCAGATTTATTCGGGATGATTAATAAAAATTCGAAAAAATCTGCTAAAGTAGCTGTGGCTTACACAGCAAACGTTAAGAAAACAAATCTTGTTTTGATCTTCTCAACACGCTGGGATTAATTTAAATAATTGATAATGAATCAAATTAATCAAATTAAAAATTGTCATCATCCAGAAGACCTGGTAGAAAAGACGTAATAAGGTTATGATTACTGAAAAACTAGACTGTTTGTACAATCTTAAAGTCATAAAGCTGCTGCTGACACTTATTCGCTACCTAGCTTCTTGACACACCTCTCTCTCCACCTATCTATCTATACTACTTTTAAGAATTTTGACTCTATCCCACACACCCCATGGCGTGTGTGGTTGTGTGTTAATGCATGAAGTGCGATTGCTGTTTGTTTTTTAAATTACTTATATTCTCAGGTGGGATCAATCGTTCTAACCTTAGCTAAATTCTAATGTTCTGATAATCTCACTACTCCTGATCTACTAGTTTGACTGACTTACGTAGTTGACTTAACTCCCAGTCATTGCAAGGTATTTTGTAAATTATAATATTTTGTTTAATTGGGTCAACCTACAGGGTCCTCTTACCTACGGAGCGCTTGTCCTAACTGAGTGTGTCTGTAGGTATGAATACCACTCTAATTCCTGCTGTATTAAGTATCCCACGAAGGGGGTGTCTCAGATGCCCCCTCCTTATCATGGTAGAACTGTAGATGCCTTATATTCTTTCTCATTTATGTTATCATTACTAGTTTCACTATTATTTTATTTTGCTTTTGACCTCTTTTGACATTCCTAACGCGATTTATAGGATAGTTAACATTAACACTTCCTCTATGTGTTTCACATTTCATCTTCAAGAGAATTTTTATCCATTATGGAATTATACTCTAGCACAACACTGGTGTCCAAGTTTTATCCTTATATCAGTAAAGTGTGTGTTTTATGTGATTTTCTGTTGATATACCATTTACCAGTGAATATCAATCCACTTTACTTTTACAAATTTCTGCTATTCTTTTATTCTTTGTTTTTTTCTTTTTGTGTCTGTGTATACAGTTACGTCAGCTGATAAAAGATGAACGAATTATTGCTACCACTAAATTGTATGCTCAAGGATTAGACGCAGGAGTACGTTGTCGTCCTGATGGATATTTAGCCGATGACGACTATAATGATTTAAGAGATGATACTTTATCAAGTAACAGCATCAGACAATCAGTACAGATGACAAATGGAGGAGATGGAAGCGATGGAAATAATTTAGATCCATCAGAACAAATTAGTGAAAAAACTGTTGTCTGTGGAATGTATGGTTGGGTACCAGCGCATCGTGTTGTACAAATTCGTTGGACTGTATCCGAATTATTAGGCATTAATTCCACCGCCATTTCATCGTCATCGTCATCATCTAATGCTTATGATAATAAAGATTCTATGAATGTTAAAGGTCAAGAGGTTAATGTTGGTTGTCTAATCGATAAATTAGGCTATAATAATGGCATGTTTTTAGATTATACAAATTTAGCGCTACGTTGTGTAGATATTCTACATCGACTTTGTGCTAGTTGTTCTTCACGTGATATACATGGGGGTGTTGTACGCCCATTGCCGAAACCTCGTCGAGCTATCTCTGATGTCAGTTGTCTGCCACATTTAATTCAGGTAGGTTTATTCTATGTGTTATGTATGTGTGTTTATGTGGTGAAATAATTGACTCTTTACGGCTAATTTGTATTTTAACTGATTAAAAATGCCCATTAAAATTTTCAAGAGAATGGATACTGAACAAAGAGTACTCTTTTCGATAACCCCTTCATCATCAGGCTCTACAGTTATATATACATTATAGTGAATGAATGAATGAATTAGTGTTATGAACAACATTAATGTTGCTGTTTAAATAACATCGAATCAATAATCACATTGATAGATTACAGCTCAAAAGCATAAACATAAAATAAGCTGAATGTCAGAAGGATTAGGAAGGAGAATATTACAAATTCATGAGTTTATAGTCTCTACTGAAGGCCAGCCAGGGCAGTAGTAGTGGCTAGCTGGACTTGCTTCTTTTGGACACAGAGAACTGGTTGTTCCAGGTGAATTGCGATAGCCTCTGCTGTTTGGAGTATGCGGTATTTGGATGTTTTTGGCAATTTAGTTGCAACCCGTAGATGATAGAGAAGGATTTTTCAATGCTGGCTAGCTTTGTGGCCGGTTTGCACCAGATGGTCCAATATCGAACTGTTAATGGTTTTAACTACACCTTTACTTAGCCATAGTTGGAGATGTTCCCAATCGAGCACGAAGAATCAAGTTCCTAGAGCAACGGCCAATATAACTGGCTCCACAAGCGCAGTTGAATTGGTAGATACAATTTGAAGTGGCCAGTCTAGGTACTTCATCTTTCAGTCGAGGTAGCACCATCGGTCATGTAGAGAATAATACATGTAGTTTGCCAACAGTAAAAGTTCTTCAAATAGATTTGCTTAACCTTTTCGCAATTATTTTACTTAGTGTATCGCCCTCGACTTGCAGTCGTATATAAAGAGGCTTCTTGTTTACGGATAGTGAGTAGTCCTATTCCGCCGCTTTCTTTGTCATGTGTTTCTTGATAAATTTGTCGGGATAGCTATTTCCAATCAAGGTATCATATACAATACTTAATTCATCTTCAATTACTTCTTCTGAGCATATAGCTCTAACCCTGTGGCTGAGGGTCTTTACTAAATTTCTTTTGTACTGGAGATGAGAACGAAGCTGTTAAAATGTGTATATTGTCCTGTCCAAGTACTTTTTCTATGCAAATTTCTTTTTATGCTACCATCTGGTTTTTTTTGTAAGGAGGAGGACATCCAGGATGGCACTCCTGGTTTGGAATTCCTCTTCTCACGTTTCACTGTTTAGCTGTACAGTCATATTTATGTACAATGCTTTTTACTAAAGTGATGAACTATCAAAATCACAGTTGTTAATATGAAGAGTTATAAAGAGTTGAAAAACAAGTTGGGTCAATACAACGATAGTAAAAGTGATACAGAGTTCCAGTTTTTCTATCTGAATTGCTTGGAGCTTCAGCAACGCACAAAAGACAAAAGCGTATCGTCTTTGGCAGGTTGTTCTTCACTTTGTACATTACTTTGACAAGGAGGTCAAGCGTAGAATTCAAAAAATCAAGAGATATGATCCCTGCCAAAATACTTAACATGAATCTTGACTTCAAAGGCTATGGACGTAGCAATGTCCTTAAGAGAAAAGTTCCAGCATTTTTGACAAGAATATGCATCGCAGCAACTCTAGCAGTAATGTTGTTCACTGGTCTGCTGAAGTTTGAACGACAAAATCTGACATCTGATCTATGTGCATATATATGTCAGTTCATCTGTTCCTGTGCAGGAGTTAGATATTATTGGTCGTTCGACGCGTAAACCATATTGAAGGGTTCAAGAATACTATTCCATGTGATTACGGAAAGACAACAGTGGCTGTATAAGGAGTGCAATAACTGAAGGATAAATAAAATGAGATAGAGAATGACTATCGTGTGTTCATTTATCGCACTCCGTATGGAACCACTCTTTTCTTTCTGTAACCATATGAAATTGTTTTCTTGAACCCCTCTAGACAGGTTACACGTTGAACAACCAATTTGACTGGCTCCATAAATGAACGACTGAAGAAAACTTCTCTCAGTGTTGTTGCGAAAAATGTTCTCAAAGATATTGAAACGCGTCTCTTAACGATATTGCAGGTGAAGTATCCCTTGAAATCAAAGTTAATGTTTTGTTCGTTTGCTTTTTTTCTTGATACAAACGATGTTTGGCTTCTCTAAACTCTTAGTTTGATGTTCTTCTTGTCAATGAATCTCCGTGGGTATCTATATCGGATGAAGATTTCTGTCAGAAGATCTAGTTCTGCTTCTAGGGCGTCAGGATTACTGATTTGTTGGATGCCGATGGCAAGGGATTTAATTAAATTTCGTTTCCGTTGATCAGGCACCCAATCAAATCGCCACTCTACGGATCATCATAGAACAAAGGTTGGAATGACAGTCACCTCTCCTTCTCACTCAACTTCATCGACTTTGATGAAAAGGCCTTCAACAGACAGCGTCGATCGAAAGGTCATTTGTCAACTACTTCTTCGTTATTACTCCTCCTTTGTCTCACACCTCTGCTCACTGTTTCTATTATGCTTTTCTTGTACTTTCTTTTCTTGCTTCGCGTGCTACACGGAGTGTGGCGACTTGAACTTCCGCACATTTGTGCAAAGTTCTATGTCGAAAACAGACAGACAGACAACTACTTCGCTACTATGGGGTGCCCCGTCGACAATTATACATCTCATCCGACAGCTATACGACAATGCTGCATGCCAAGTAATCCACAACGGGAAACTTACGCAAGCCTTCGAAGTGAGGACTGGAGTGAGGCAAGGCTGTCTTCTATCACCAATGATCTTCCTGATTGCAGTAGATTGAATAGTGAGACAGACAACGGGCAACGAGGAAACAGGTATAAAATGGACTCACACAAAAAACCTGGAGGATCTAGACTTCGTCGATGATATATGTCTGATTTCCCCGAAAATTGGAAGATATCCAAGTGAAAATCAACAAGCTGGCACAAGAAGCATCCGGAGAACATAGGACTTCAGGTGAACATAGAGAAGGTGGAGACAGAGGTGATGAAGATTCCTGGCCAACAGCAACAACAACAACAGACAACAATGAGCCAGCATAAATAGGAGGAACCTGAAAGAAGTAACCTCCTTTACCTACCCACCTACCTACCTGGAAAGCATCATTTCAACTACAGGCGGACGGAATTGACGAGGATATCAAAGCGAGGATAGGGAAAGTAAGGCAAGCTTTAATTACTCTCAAGTCTGTGTGGAGGTCAACAGCACTACTCAGCATCAAAACGAATATAAGATCCGGATTTCCAACTCCAATGTGAACTCAGTCAGTGCTGCCTACTATACCGATCAGAGACTTGGCGCGTCATAAAGAGCATCTCAAACAAACTTCAGACCTTCATTAACAGTTGTCTTCGCTCAATACCACTCAAGATCAGATGGCCAGCCAGAAAAGATCAGAAACAGGGATGGATCTCTGGCAATGAGCGAACCAACCAGCAGGAACCGATTGTGAAACAAATATACAGGAAGAAATGGAGATCGATTGGATTGGCCATAATCTGAGGAAACCATTAAGTGACATCACTAGACAAGCCATTGCTCGAGTGGAACCCGGCGAAAGGGAAGCGGCGAGTTGGTCATCAGTGCAAGGGTGACTTGGAGGAGGTCATGTGAAGAGGAGGTGAAAGCATGTCGGTAGACTTGGAGCGGGGTGAAAAAGTTGTCAGAAAACCGAAGGCAATGGAGACGTGTGGCTGAAGCCCTATGTTCCTCTAGGAATTAAAGGATATAATAATATTATAATAATCATTAGGCATCCATCTGTAGAAACTTAGAATTAGAAGTGTCTCAGTTCATCGTTCGGTTTATAGGTTATTGACGGAGGCAGCATAATTTCCTCTTAGACGATGTATCACGTTTTTTCAGAAACCGATTCCAACACATTTAAATCAGGTAGGTTTATGTGCATGTTGTGTGTCTTTGAAATGGCTAAATATTCTGTGGTTATCAATGTTTTGTTTTAAAATAATTTATTCTTTTCGGTGAATTCGTATTTCTCTTTTAGCTGTACTTTCGCATTTATATAAAACCCTTTATCACACAAATGATGAGTTGTCATATTCATAGTTCAATTTCACTTGTAGATTTCATCATGGACTAACCAGTAGGCACTAGGCAGTTGATTTGTCTTAGATTCCACGACTCCTCAGCAATGCTTACCCACTATCCTACCAGGGTTCGAATCTGGGACCTTCAAGTTACCGAAACTAAACTCCTCGATCATTCAAACACGTGGATGGGATCATTGGTAGGTTTGTGGGAATGCATTGCCGAAGACTTCCAAAGCAGGACGAAACAGTTGTCTAGCACGTCATGGTTTTCAATGATCCTTCTAATCCATGTTGGTTTCTGATGAAATCTGCAGCTGAAATTAAATTATTTCAAGTCTCCCGTAGTCGATAATCATAGTTGTTCATATAAATCAAACCATTAGAGTGGTTGCATAAAGGTATTAAAGTTACGTAATGGGGGGATCCAGATACCAGCGAAGCAAAATGTAATTTCACGTAAGATGTAGAAAGTTATGCAATAGTCATAAAGTGTTGAAAAACAAATTAAGTCGGTAGAAAACGGCAAGGGTGTTAGTTACCATGAAAGTACTCAGAGCTCTCTGGTCTCTTTGTCTGAATGACTAAAGCTTCAGGAATGGTGAGAATACGCAGGCGTATTGTGTTCAACAGATTGCTTTTCATTTTGAAGAATACTTTGAAAAAGAGGAGTTTGCTGAGAAAGCATGACCATTGTGTCAATAAGGTGTTTAACTATGGCACTCTTTACAGAGAGCCATGGTTGCAGAATAGCAACCATGTGGAATAGCGTTCTTGAAGCCTTTTACACAGAATATGCGTTGAACACAATCAAGACACACCTAGCTCCACACGAATAAGTGAACTGATATATGTTCATAGAGGTTGTCAGATACGAGGTCTTGTCTTCCAGGTATCTGCATGCCAGTGGAAGACTGG